AAACACTTTTGTAGTCAGAAATTAAACAGTGGGGTTTAATTGTCCATTTGTTTATCAAGGTGGTAAAGAACTCTGAGGTTTTGTTTATTTGCTTTGGTACAAAGCAAAAGTTTTGATGTTGGTTAACCAGTTAACAACAGGTATAGAAAATTTTCAGTTCTTTAATTTCAAATAGCATTTACAGTCTAACCTCATCACAGCAGATTCATTGTACCAGCCAAAAAATCCGCTGTGATGAGAAATCCATTAATTAATTGTGAAATAAGGTTAACTAATTATGATGTTATATGATAAACTAGAGTATGCAAATATGCTGGTCACTGGGATTTTTTATTTATTTTTTTTTTCTAGTTAAAAAATTTGGCAAGATTTTAAAATTTAATAAATAATAAATAATTATTTTAATATACTAATATTACATTATTAATATTTAATTAATGTTATTAATGTTATTATTAATAAATGATTTAAAAATGATGACATTACAAAATGATATCATTTTATGATATCATGCAAAAATTAGTTTTTTTTAGGCTTTTTTGAAAATGCTATATAAGCAATGTTAATCCTTGCAAAATTCTATATAATATATATATATACAAAATAAATGCATAAAGCACAAAGCATAAAGCATAAGGCATAATACATTATAATAAAATTGAAAGCAATTTTTTTTTTGTGTGATCATTGTCTATATACTTTAATAATATCAAAATGCGATACAATAGGAAATTGATAAATGACTTAAACTTTTTTTATTAAGAAATTCAATATATTTGGAATTATCATGCAGCAAAACATGGTCAACAAAAATACTTATATGTTAAAATGGAATACTCTCACCATTAAATTTCTTTAAAATAAGATTGCCAAAGAGTAATCCACAATTGGTTATTGTTATTATATAGAAATAGTAAATTTGTGTGGTAAGAATAAATTAGGGAGAGAAAGAAAATTAATTTATGTTCTTGTGATTTTCTGAGCACATGAGCGCAGATGAGCAGGATGAGCGGGATGAGCGGGATGAGCGCAAATGAGCGGGGATGAGCGGGGATGAGCACAAATGAGCGGGGATGAGTGGGATGAGCGCAAATGAGCAGGGATGAGCGCAGATGAGCAAATGAGCAGAGATTGTGGAACGAATATATATTATATAATCTTGTGTAACAGTGAATTTTTTTTTCATCATCTCAATCTCTCTAATAAAAAAAAATTTTTTTCCTATTAATCCTATCATATTAATCCTATTTATCCTATTTATCTTATCATATTAATCCTATTAAGAAAAAAATTTTCAACTATTTTTATCAAACCCGCCTATAATAATAAACATTCATTTTGGAAACTTGATTTGCAAATAGATCTTGACTTTAACACTTACTTCTACCAAGCCTGCCTATATAATTATTTGAATAATTGATAAAGCGAAATCGAGTGGACTTACCCGAGGGTTGAAAAGACCAACAACAACGATGATAAGAAATCCCCACGCAAAGCATTAAAATCCAAACATCTGGATTTTGAGGAACAATTCATGAGTTCCAACAGCAAGAGAAGACTACAAATCACATCAGGAAGTCGGGTAAAAAAAGAAGTACAGACCATGACCCACAAGAAGAATCAACATCAAGGGCAACAAAACTGACACATACAATGAACGGAATTGTCAGCAACAATAAACGTTATACGGATGCTGTAGAAAATTCGTACAACATTGAAAATGATGATGATAATAATGAGAATGAAACAATGGTAAACGATGAGTTGTGACACTGAATAATTTTTATTATTCTTTGTATTTTTTTTTCACAATAAAAATTACGTAGATCAAATTTTTTTTTTCTATTTGTATTTGTATGCAATAAAAATTATGTATATAGATGTATATATATCAAATTTTTTTTTTCAGAAAAATAAAAAAAAAAATTTACCACTCAGCGAAAGCAAAAAATTCCTTCCCAAAAAATTAGGTTTAAAAAACAAAGATTTTTCGGTTTCAATTGCAATTGCAACGCATTGCTTTGCAATTCAATTCAACGCAACTCAATTTCAATGCAATTGCAACCTGTTTTATAAAACAAAACATTTGCCGTACGACACAATTTTTGCTAAATATGGTGAAAACGTTGATCGCGCCAAAAACCGAAAAGACCAGGCGCGGCTAGACGCAAAAGGAGACAATCGGCGAGAAAACTGCGCGGAAGTCGCACGACTTGCGAGTTTTGGAAGGAGATCGTGGCATGGCAAATGTTAAATCTTTTTTTTTGTGTTAATAATGCAATTAACAATCCATTTATCCGTTAATATTAATAACAACAACAACAACAATAATAATAATATTTTTTTTTATACTGAAATGAGGACTTTTTGATCATGTTTATTTAACTAATACTAGTACATTATAAATTCTACTACTATTAAAATAAAATTAATATCACAATATTACAATCTTTTAAGAAAAAACATCAAATTATTTTTCAATGTAAAGAAAATTTTTTAAACAATACAGTCTAAGCTATCTATACCAAACCTCTCTATAACAAACATCCTTTTGTCCCCGATTCATTTTTTTATAATTAATTTCTCCCGCTATAACGAACAAAGCAGAAAAATTACATATAGGGAGAGTGGTTCGGTATAGAGAGCTTAGACTGTATAGGGAGGGAAACATGTAAAAGAACACGGATGAAACATGATTTTTTTAAAAAAACTATGTTCCTGAAAAGAAATAAATCACAATCCATCTCCAAATTAAATAAATAATTATTTTATTATTTTAAATTTCGACAAATAAACGTTTTTGGTTTATTAATACCATATTACTATATAATATTATCCAATAAAATTTGCTAGTTTAGCGGGTTAACCTGTTACCAATCCGGATGAAAAAAATCCTAACGGATCCTTAATGGGTTCAAATATTCTTAATATTAACGGGTCCATAACGTTAATCCGTTAACAATCCGGGTTAACACTAAACCACGTATTACCGATCATTCACATGGCCAAATCACAGAACAAGTTTGGATTTATTTTATAGATTTGTAAGCATAAAACTTTCTGTGAGTTGTGATTCGCAATTAATATGGCAACTAGTGTTGGTTGCCGAAACTATTTTTGAAGAAGCGAAAGTCAAAACTAAAATTAAAATTTATATGTCAAAACTAAATCAAAAGTCAAAGGTCAAAGGTCAAAACTAGTTTTGACTTATGGCAAAACCTTTTGACTTTCGCACAGTTGCGAAACTCTCTGGTTTTGGAAACCAACATTAATGGCAACAACAAATTTATTATAATAAATAAAAAAATTAGCAAAGTGTAAAAAAATTTTATTTTATTTATTTATTTGATAGATTAATTAGATTATAATCATTAGTTAGAAGTAAAAATATCACCCTACAAACAAATACCAACTAAATAATTAAAGCTACTAAAAAGTACAAACTTGAAAAAAAGACATTTTCTAATCACAACAACAACAACGACAACAACAACAACAGTTAATAAATGAAAATATTTTTTTAATTATTTTATCAAAAAACCATAAAACTATAAATTTAATAACCAGAAAAAAATATGAAATTATACTAATCAACACGAAATATCCTAGAATAAGGACAGTTAGTCCTAACTTTTTAAGTGCATTTACATCTTCTTTACTAGTCCTGCCATATTCACCCTTTGCGATTTTTAGAGCAACTTCTAAGAGTACTATAAACAACAAAATGAATTTTATTACTTGCAATCCATCCATAATGCAGTGCAATATCCTCTTCTGTCTTTTTTTTGGTTGATATTTACCAAACCATTCGTTATAATTTAAACTAACTAGATTGAAATAATATTTTATGAGTGAAAAACAAGCGAGTTATTGCGTGGTGATCTTTGAAAATAGTAAATTGATGACAACTTACAAAAAAAAACACCTAACGAGTCTATGAAGCTAAAACAAGAACAAATATGTTCACTTGTAAAGAAAATAAAGAGGGCCTCTACAAATCGAGGTAAAAGTTCACATCCTAATATGATTCCAAATAGTATGATTCCTCGTTGATGCTTTAGAATGATGTAATATTGATAATAGAAATAAAACGTTGTGGCAGTAATCACGAGAGAAATAGGACTCCATACAACCTTTATCTTAGTCAAAAAACCTGCCTTATTATTATCACTTTCTTTGGACATTGTAATGTTTTTCTTCAAAAAAAAAAAAAGAAGTTATTTGAAATATGAAAAATCAAAAAAAAGTTATACCATTCATTTCATTGTGTTGTGTCAACCAAATATGGTTTTATTTTCTCGCCAATATTAAATATATATTATACAAAAAACTCAATTTTGGTCAAAAAGGTCCCTAAACAGGGCTGGAAATAAGATCTGGAAAAAAAAAGCGGAAAATTTTTCCCGAATTGCAGATCGTTTATCAAACCAGGTGATTTTAATGGAAAATGTGGGGCACGTTTACTAATTAAAATAATTGACCGTGTTTTAAAATGGTTATACAACATATAAAATTTATTTTTCACTAAATTTTATTCATAACAATAGAAAAAATGCCAAAAAACATGAAAATAAAAAAAAACTGCATTTTATTATACTTGATAAAAAAAAAGCTATGTAAGTAGTCAATATTGAGAAAAATTTTTTTATTAAATTCCACGGAATTTGTATATATTAATATACAGTGACTTCCATAATTATTGCACCACTTGACTTAAAATTTTCAAATTGTAAAATTTTACAATATAGAAATTATACAATCAATAAATTTATATCAATTAGAAATTTATGACTTCTTCAATAATATATTTAAATTTGACTGATGGTTTATTTGTTTTTCGAGAAATTTCCATTCAAGTGATTTTTTTATGGTGCAATACTTTTGGTAAACCTAAATAGAAATGATTAGACAATGTTTACATGAGACGTTTATATAAAGTAACTATATAACAAATGTACATTACATTCCTATTTGCTCCGCTTTTCTTTTTATGCTCAACTATGAAAGCAATTACACTTGAACAAAGAGCTCATATTTACACTCTTACTCAAGAAGGATACTCTAGTCATGAGATTGCATTTCGCAAAAAAATTAGTCATTCCACTGTTGTAAGAATAAAACAAAGAAAGGAAAAAACAGGAAGTTTTGATGTTATACCAAAATCAGTATGTCCATGCATACTTTCTGAACAACATGATAGGAATATTTGCAGAATTATTAAATCGGGTGAATGTTTTAATGCAATTCAAATTTAAAAAAAAAATTTCTGATAAAAATGTTATTGTTTCTCCAAATACAATTAGACACTCATTGAAAAGACAAGGTATGGTATCTAGAGGGAAAAGGAAAAAACCATTACTACTAAAATGACATAGAATTGCAAGAAAAAAGTTTGCATGGAAACATCGAAATTGGACTATAGAGGATTGGAGAAAGGTTATCTGGTCAGATGAAAGTAAATTCATGATTTTTGTTCAGATGGAAGGAGTGGTGTTGGAAAGATCCAAAATCACCTTTGCGTCCACAACATGTTAAGCTAACAGTAAAGTTTGGTGGAGGTAGTGTTATGATATGGGGTTGTTTTGGCAGTTTTGGTGTTGGAAATTATTGTAAAATTGATGGAAGAATGAATGAGAACTATATCGACTGATATTGGGAGATGAGTTTCTGGGAACTCTCAGCACATATAATTTAAGTAAAAATAATATTAATATTTTAGACTGGCCAGCACAGTCACCTGGTTTAAACCCCATTGAACATTTATGGAATGAAATAGACTGTCATTTGTGACAACTTCCTGGTAATATTAGTAGTCATGAAAATTTGTGGAATATGGAGTCAGATTGATGTTGATTTCTGTTTAAAATTAATTGATACTATGCCACAAAGAATAGCGGATGTTCTCAAGGCTAGTGGAGGATACACAAAGTGGTAACTGTTATGTAGGCAAATTTTGGATAATATTTAGTTAGAAATATGCTAAGAAATTTACGCAAGAATTTTATTTTTGTTATGTGCCAACAGTATTGCACCACAAAATTTTTATTCATTTGAGGTTTTTTTAAAAAAATGCAAATTGAACTACAATAAAGTTTGATTATAATATAGTTAAAATTGATGTATTTTAAATGACCTAAATACATGTACTGATTATCTGTAGTTAATGAGATATTACTGTTTAATAATTTTAAATCAAGTAGTGCAATAATTATGGAAGTCACTGTATATAAATACTGTGTATAAATTTTTTTTATTTTCAAAAATAATAGCAACTACTTTTTATAAATTATTATCTTGTGGTTCGTGTGCCACATCAATACAAAAAAAACCTTCTCAATATTGACTACTTACATAGCTTTTTTTTATAAATACAATTTCTACAAACAGCCAATTATTTTTTTTAATTAGTAAACGTGCCCCACATTTTCTATTAAAATCCCCTGGTTTGAGATAAACAATCTGCGAATTAAGGAATTAACAATCAATAAGAATATTTCGTGTAACAGACTGAACCGGAATTAAATTTTCTAAAGTCCAAATAATTTCTCGTTTCTAATTGATTAAATTAATTAAAATGAACTGTAATAGGAGAAATTAATAATACAATAATGGGAGGAAAGAGACTTCGGCTGCTCATAATTTGAAGAAAAGAAAGTAAAGGGAGTCAATCAAGTTGGATATGGAACTTGATGGAAAAAAATGAAATTGTAAATGATGACAGAGAAAAATCTAAAGGAGCTATTTGTCTCCAAAACTTCTGATATTATTGATCATTGTAATGAAATACACTGACCTCAAATCTTGATCTACTTTTATTTGAAAAGATTGTTTTTTGAAAAAAATATTGATAATTTATGATTAACTATGAATATTTACCGAGTAATCATCCACCGAATAATTAATTATTCACCTAATGACTATCCGTATATTAAATTAATAATAAAAAGAATATGGACACAATCTCTATAACTCATCATATAGGAAAATCAACATTTTGATCAATAACAGTGATGAAGCCACCAAAAAAGCATATCGAGTACAAATAGAGATGTGCTGCGCATAGTGTGTTACGCATAAGGTTTTAGATATATTTTTTATAGACATTTATTAATAAACATTTCTAAAAAAAAATTAAGTATGCCATTTACTTTCTTATTATTATATGCGCATTTATGATATTTCCCTCCCTATGATATATATACACTATGCGCACTATACGCAGTATGCACGAAAAAAATCACGGTTACTATGAATGGCACATCTCTAGGTTAGAGTAATAAAGTACAAATATGTATGATCTTACGTTGGCAGCTAGCTTAATGTAATACTTTGTCATAATTTACTATTACCTCTCCATAAATAAATACAAGTTTGATGATAAATTTAACACATTAGGTTAGAACAATGAGAGTAAAAAACAAATATGTAAAACCTAACTTAACATGATTGATGATAATTGTTTGTTGATTTACTATTACCTCCCATAATATAAGGATTTTTCTCACGAACTAACTTCCTCAATTATAATTTGTCCACCTTTGTTTATGTCACCTTCATCGTACGATGACAATTATTACTGTTTTTATACAACGATTGAAGAAAAATCCACATTAGAGTAAAACCATGTAAAAAAATACCACTATTTTAGCCCGTCCGGTATTTTAATTCTTTAAAAAGAGTTTTCTTTCTTCTTTTCATTATCACTTTACATGTTTCTGAGCGATGTGTTTTAATATATAGTGTAAATGCTTTATATAAAAAAACCAATTTTGGACAAGAATCCAGCGAATCATTTTTTTTGTGGTATCACCCATAACCCATACTGATATAAATAAATTTGATATTTACCTTTTGGTCAGTCAGTCTAATTTCGTCACATCTCGTCAAGTATGACAAGTCAACTTTTTTTTTCTCACGTTTATATTAATAAACATGTCATTATAAGTGTTTAAATGTAATAAATTTATGATTTTTTATTTGTTACACGTAATTCTCTTCATTGTAATATTTCGGAAACCATCTAAACGCGATTTACCGATTATTCGTGTGGCCGATTTTTTACAAAATTTAGATTTTAATAAATTTATAAAAAAATCATTTTTTCCAAGCTTTCCAATGAGATTTTTTTTTTTACAGCGAATAAAGCTTGCTCTTCTTCCCGAAAGTCCTAACCTATAAGCATCCATAAATCTGTAATATCTCCTGTAATTTTACAAAGTGATACTATTACCCGTAATTCTTTAAATGAATAATTACAGTCTTTTCTAGCATGATTTTTAACTGTAACCCCAAAACTTTTTGTATATTTCAATTCACATTGGTATTTGGAATAAAATATTACTTTATATCTTGCATTTTCTACTACTCCTTCTAATTGTGATTTTTGTACGAGAAAGATTGACCTGCACAACAATCATTAACCCATGTATAATTTACTATTTATTTTAAGAAAATTTTTTAAAATTGATAATCACTTACTTAATGATACACTCTCTGAATAAACTGAATATATAAATAAATACTAATTCATTCTCTCTAGATTATTTGATAAATTTTCTTTTGTATACATACAGTATATCGGGGTTCCTTATAAAGCAAAATCAGGCATAAAAAATTTATGCAGCACGTGATAAAATAGGTTGATCACTTGACTCAAACAGATGACTCTTTGACGCATCGAGTCAATTAAAATTGGGAATTGAGTCAAAGCCAAATTAATTGACAACATGTATACTTTAGATGATTCACAGCAATAAAGCGAGGTTGATTTTGATAAGTGGCACAGCACATGATGTCTTTAAAATGATTCACATCATAATTAAGGTTTCCGGTCCAAACTGTTTTCTCAAAGCCCAAATTAGTTTGGGCAATTTGGGCTTCTCAGCATTTTTTATAAACATAAACATTAAAAAGCTATACCAATCAACTTATTTTAACTTAAACAACTTTAAAGTAATTTCGCCCAATTTCAACTAATAATAAAAAATAGTTTGGTCTTATAAAAAAGTATTTTTGCCCAAAGTGTTTCGGCAATTTCAGCTATTAATAAAGAGAGTTTCGGCCAGAAACCTTAATCATAATAGTTATAGGTAAATTTGTGTTATGTATATACCAAAATAAAAATTAATTTTTAAATACACAGCAAGTCTTGGTATATATAACGGAATTTAACTAGTACAAATTTAGAAACTATCTGCAAAAATATCCAATCAAATTCAATTTTTGCAGATGGTTTCTAAATTTGTACTAGTTAAATATCCGTTATACTGAACTCACTGTGTACCTTCAGCTGACTCACTTGGTCAAGTATCAGGTTTTCAGCAACTTATGCACATTGCAAACATTGTAATTATGAAGTAAATATTGCTGTTGGTAAATGTGTGTTGCACATTTTAGAGTTTGTTCAAGAGTAAGTATAACTAACGCTCTCCAAGTAGTGATGTTAGCCGGCTAAGAAATTTTTAAACGGCTTAGCCGGCTTTATTCTCAAAAATAATAAAAAATATTCATTCATTCGTAATGCCGCCAAAAAAGAAAAAGAAATCTAATCCACAAAATAAGCAATTAATTAGTTCCAACACTCGTAACAAAGCAAATTCTTGGTCTGGTGGGTCATTGCATAACAATATTAACAATGGGTTAAATAACAGTAGTAATATTAATA